GTTCCTCTTTCCTGTGTCCTTCATGCCCCTTTTGCCCAATAAGTCAGCTTTCCTGCCACCCAGCCTACCTGGCAGAACAGAATTGCCTTCCTTGGGGAAGTTCCTAGCCCAAGGCTAGATCTTCCAGATTCTTAGGAAAGGATTCTGATTGGCTCAGCCTGGGTCAGGTGGTCACTTCTGGATCAATGAGCTGAGACCAGGGAGTAGGTCTTCCTGGGCAAATATGACTGTTCCCCTGTGGCCATGTGAATGACAGGAAGGAGAAGGTCCTACAAAAGTCAAGGGTGGATATAGGAGAGACAGAGGGCAGGCAAAAGGATTAACTTCTACTACAACATAGTGACATTTTCTACTACAACACAGCACCCTTATAACGGAGTACGGCATAGGCTCTGGAACTAGACTGCTGGGGTTCAAATAAAGAGCTTGATAAAATTAGCTTGATAAAACCCATGGTTAGTGTTCCAGGAATATTGCAAGTTGATTGTTGAACGCAATCATTATTAAATATCAAAGTATATAAACTTCTATTTAAATAAATTAGACTAAACACTACACATTTTTAAAAAGGTAGTAGCCCTGGCCAGGTAGCTCAGTTGGTTGGAGCATCATCCCCTTATGCCAAGGTGCAGTTCGATCTCCAGTTGGGGCACATACCAGAAACAACCAACGAATGTATAGATAGGTGGAACAACAAACTGATCCCTCTTTCTCTCCTCCCCCATCTAAAATCCAATTAAGAAAAAAACAACAAAACAACAACAAAGGTAGTAAACCCTCAAAACTCATCACTTCTTAATTATTTTACTACCTTTTATCATCATCCATGATCTTGAGGTTATTTATGTCTGTTGTACCTATACAGTGGACATACTTTATAATCTCTTCCCAATTCTACAGTCAGTGACTCCGTGCTGGTAGGTTGAAATCAGCCATGGTTATATTTACACTATAAAAATCACTACAAAGCATATCTGCCTCTGCACTCATCTCATGGGTCTTAGTGTTTTCCTCTGTGCAGTAGGGATGGAGATGAAAATAAAACCTACCTCATAGGATTTTGAGATTAAATGAGTGGATACATAGTGAGTATTAGCTACAATGACGATGATGATTAGATAATAGGAGGACCCAGTGGTGTGCTAACTCTGGGTGCCTATTTGCGGCATCTCTTTCCCAATCTGTGTTAAGGTATGTCACACTGGTAGCTTGAAATTGGCAAGGTGGGAAATTTACACCACAGTAATTGGCAATCAGTAAACCAGCTCCCCTAACCCCCACCTCCTGCACTCACTAGACAACTGGTTATTAAGTATTTACTAGCACACCATTGGTATACAGACTGCACCAGGAACATGATAGGTACTCAGCAACAGAGCAGTGCACAGTGGCTAATCTGTCTGGGGAACCCTTGAAAATAGACACATCCAAGAAAAATATGTACCAAGGCCAGAAACATTATGCCCAGGAAGTGGTGATTGTGTGATCCTTGTCAGCTTTCTGGGGCAGCAGTGCCCACCTGACCAGAGTACCCAATCTTTTTCTCATAGAACCTTGGGGGCAGCATCAATAAGGCTGGAGACTTTCTTCAAGCACACTACATGAACTTGAAGAGACCGTATGCTGTGGCCATTGCTGGCTATGCCCTGGCCCGGTTGGGCAAGCTGGAGGGCCCTCTCCTCAACACATTTCTGAATGCAGCCACAGGTGAGAGGCAGCCTGGCGGGGTAAGGAGAGATACGTGGCTGCGGGTTGAGGGTGGCCATCTTAAACGGGGCTGCATGGCTCCAATCTGAGCTGGGATGAGTGGGTCTGGGTGTGAAAAGTCCTCATTGCAAGCATGACACAAAAGGTCCATTGCATGATTCAACAAGTATTTGTTGAGTACTTGTTATGACACAGGAGCAAGGACATGGGCTCTGACATCAGACAGATCCAAGTTCAAAATTAAATCACCCTCAGCCACATCCTCACAGTGTGATCTTGTACAATCCACTTAACCTCTATGGACATTGTCTATAAAATGATACCTACATCACAAGATTGGTGCGAAGATTAAATGAGTGATGAGGGTAGGAAAAGGTCTAGCACATGGTAAGAGATCTATCTCTGATGTTGTCATTGCCTTTAGTATTATTGTGGGTGTGCCAAGTTGGTGGACAGCTCTCCTCTATACAGTGATGCAGGGACCCAGGCTCTATCTTCTCATGGCTCTGCCACCTCGGGGCCTCGGAATCCCTTTTATTAAAGCAGAAGGGGAAACAGTCAGGAACACTGTGCAAGGGAGGTAGACCAGCCATGGAAGGGGCCCCATCAATTGTTTTGCACTTTCCATTAGACAGAGCTCAGTTATGTAGCCATACCCACCTGCAAAGGCCTCTAGGAGATGTAGTCCAACTCTGTGTCCAGTAGGAGGGAATGGTTCTTGGTGGCAGTCTCTGTCATGAGTACTTTCTTAGGCACTTGGGGCATTGCAGGGAATATGGCACAGCCCCTGCCATCATGGCCTCACGTTCCAGTTGAGGAAACAAATGAGTTAATAGATTCCTCTAGAGCAGTGATGGCGAGCCTTTTGAGCTGGGCATGTCAGCATTTTGAAATACCCTAAGTTAATTCTGGTGCCGTGTCACATATAGAAATTTTTTGATATTTGCAACCATAGTAAAACAAAGATTTATATTTTTAATATTCGTTTGATATATTTAAATTCCATTTAACAAAGAAAAATCAACCAAAAAATGAGTTTGCATGTCACCTCTGACATGCCTGTCATAGGTTCGCCCTCACTGCTCTAGAGCATCATTATGCTGGGACAGGAGAAGCACAGGATGCTTTAAGAGACAGGAGGAAAGGTGTCACTCTCTCTTGGGTGCCATTGAAGCCAAATTGTGCCGAGTGGATAAAAATTAACCAGGGGTAGGTGGAGAAGAAGTGCTCCAAGATGGGAGAACAGAATATGCAAAGGCTCAGAGGTGAGAATGAGCATGGCAAACTTAGGGAATCTGCTCCCATAGATCAGAGGGACTGCAGTTCAGAATTTAAACGGAAAAGTAAATGTTTATGAGGGAAGAGAGTAAGGCAGGAACCAGCAGACTGAAAGCCACAAATGTGGGCCAGGACACCTGAACACCGAGGTCTAGAACAAGTCTGTTTCTGAGCTTTCTCTGAACTACCTCCAGGCTGGACAGAGCAGTGAGCATGGGGGCTGGTGTTCTCTCTTGTAGATAAGAACCGCTGGGAGGAGCCTGGCCAAAGGCTCCACACTATAGAGGCCACATCCTATGCCCTGTTGGCTCTGCTGCTGCTCAAAGACTTTGACTCTGTACCTCCTGTTGTGCGCTGGCTCAACGAGCAGAGATACTACGGAGGTGGCTATGGCTCCACCCAGGCAAGTGGTCCCACATCCCCCAGGCAAATGCATCCTTACCTCCTCTGGCCTGACTGGCCACCCAGATAAGATGCTGAGACCAAGAGAGGCAGTTGATTGAAATGAAGTTGAGAAATCAGGTTTTGGTTTTTGTTGCAAATCTGTCTATGGATTCTACACTAAATTCTGGATGCCTCAAGCTGCATTTTGAGACTCCCTTTCCCTCCTGGTGTCCAGATCACATTCTCGAGGCCCAGGTGCAGGGGTGAACCTCTCTCTGATCGTTTCTAGACCATATTTCCTGTTCCACCAGGCCTCCCATCTTATCCTGTTCCACTGGTGGGTTCTAGACCAATTCTCAATTATTATAGGGAATCATCAAGTCCATCTTTTCCTCTGGAGGATTCTGGGAGACTCAGTTCCACGAGGCTCCCAGTGTTGCCTTGTCTTACTGTGGGTTCTAGACAATGTTCTCAGTTTTCTAGAGTCTTATCAAAGCCTGCTCTCTTCCAGCTGGGTTTTAGACCATTTTTTCAGCAACCTCAAGTCTAGCAAGCTCAGGCTTCAGTTTGATCGCCTTTCACTCTGGTGGCATTCTCAGATATTTAATAGATCCTCATCCAAGGATATGTTTATTAATTTGAGAGAGAGAGGAAGGGAGAGACAGAGAAAAAAAAAAACCACATTGATGTGAGAAACATCAATGGATTGCTTCCCATATGTGTCTTGACCGGGGATGGAATCTGCAACCTTTTGATGCATGAGCCAATGATCCAACTAACTAAGTCACCGGGCTGTTTTTAGGCTGGCAGGCGACTGAAGCTCCCAGCCTCTTTTTTTTTATTATTCTGAGATTTATTTACCTTCTATAGCTGTCACTGGAGCTGAGAGCCAGCTCCAGCTCTGAGGCCCGGCTCCAGCTCTGAGGTCATTGCCAGCTGAAAGTAGGTATCTGGGTTTGTTTAGCTTCTATAATTGAGACATTGTTGCTTCCAGAGCTCAGAGCTGGGCCATGGCAGGCGGGGAACCTTAGCTTCCTCACTCACTGGAGCAAGCAAGCCTCATGTTCGCTTCAGCTGCATAGCTGCCGGCCAGCATCTTTGTTGGCAGTTAATTTACATATCTTGCTGATTAGCCAATGGGAAGCGTAGTGGAAGTATGGTTAATTACCATGTTTGTGTATTATTAGATAGGATAGTATTACACATACTGCACCCCCGACCCCCATTTCCTTTCTCCTCCCAGCCCCTAACCACCCACCCCCAGGTCTTCACAACCTTATTGTCAGTGTCCATGCGCTAGGCATATTAGACCCTCAGTCTTATGCCGGCACTTTCTCATGTATCTA